TCACCTATTGGCGCATTGGGATGCCCATGAATGATTTTTCACTACAATCCATTATGAGTGAAAACGACGCCACGAAGTGTGTCTCTGGTACTGCTGCTTAATACATCAACCCGTTGCGCTTTTCGTACCGACCTGACGAGGGTCGTTATAATTCCGTCAATTCTCTTAAATATGTACGAGATGCGTCGAATTGTACATCATCAAATGCAGGGTATCAATATGTTGTGCGTAGCATTGTTGTAAGTCGTCAAGCAGTGTTGACGATCATCAAATGCAGGATATCATTATGTTCTGCGTAGCATTGTTGTAAGTCGTCAAGAAGTATTGACGACGAAACACTATCAATGAGTGTTGCAACAGTGATCTTATCTTCACTTTTTGATTGACTTCGAGTCGGGTCTGCGCGAAAGTTCATCAAAGACAATTATTAAGTCGTTCTGGCTTGCATTCGACGGAAAAGTTGTACGCTACAGAAAACGACGTCCACTTCGCCATTCTTTGCGGAATGTGGATAATGTTTAAAACCGTGTGTAAATGTGCATGATCCGTATGCACTACGAACGATCTATCTCCCAGGAGATAGTCGAGAAACTTAGCCAGTGCAAAAGAATGTAAAAATGTTTCTAGTCGTCTGTTGGTTTATTGCTCTGAGCTGGTCGCAGCTGACGCGACTGATATAAGACGACGCGATCTGCGTCGTCGTTATCAAATTGCATCAGCTCATAGCCGTTTGCAAAGTCACTGGCGTCTCATATCTCATGGAATGGTCTATCCTGATTCGCAATCCCTAATTGAACGATTGCATCAACCGCTCCATACCTTTAAAGGAACGGTAAAAGTCATCGTTCCATGACCACTTCACAGTTTTTACGCAAACAAGGAAAGTGCACGGTCATCTCCTAGTCATTTCGCGAGTACCTGTTCCAATAGTCTGCTATACCAAGGCATGTATGAGTCCTTTGACATCGACCGGCACATGCTAGTAGGTGACCTCCTTGATATTATCAAAAGAAAGTTGTATGCCCTGCTTACCCAAGATGCACCCAAGAGTGGTATCTTGCTAGATGCGAACATACACTTCTTTTGATAGATTTTGTTTATGATTTTACATAAATACGCAAGAACTGGAATGAAGTGCGCTCTATAAATGTCCACTCCGTATCACTGTCCATAATTTTGCTATGGAAGAACTCATAGTCAAAGTACTTTAGTGCAAATTCTTACACCGATCGTAACAGATGCGTGATGAATCTGTTTGATGTGGAATAGACGCTACAAATCCCCTCTGGTATTCCTAACCACTGCCAGAGCATATCACTCGATGTGCTCACTTCCGGGTACGTGATGTCCCACTCACGCATAAGAATATCATAAAAGAAATCATCTAATCCATGATATAAAAGGCGGTACTTTGTGACATACCATCAATGATTTCATCCTTGATCGGCATCAGCGTCTGTGTTTGTACCAGTACCGTTCCAACTTGCAGAATGTATGCGATAGCCACCATCCTCAAGTGACCTTTTTCACACAGAAGGTCGGAGTGATGTTCGGGAGGTTCCGTTTCTCATATAACATGCTGCTAAGCAATCGGAAAAGAACTTGTCGATAACTTTTACGTATCAATGAGGTAATAATCACTGCTTAATGACGCAGTTATTCGATACCTTTTTGGTCTCGCTCTCACGCGGAGTACCTTTTTCTTTAGACAACTCGCATGGTACAGATTCAGGGAACAATCCTCAAAATAGATCATAACCTTATACGAAGGATTTTTCTAGAGCGACTTCCGGGATTGAAACGTGTGTCACTCAATTTGAGTCTTTACACCGAGGTCATGTACTTCCTTTGATGAGCTGCTATACAGCCGTTCTTCCCAGCAAATACTGCTACCAAACGAAGATCGACCGTGCGCACGTCTCCGATGCGCGTACGCAGATCTACTTGACTTTGGCACTGAGCATATCGTGCAAGAACCGATTCGGCTCTAGCGTCGCCATTTGAGTCATTTGTTTAGTTGACTTTAGAGGCGAACTCAGATCAAGGGTACATACGCCCTACGCTTGATGTCTCTTTAACTAATGCATCTAAAATCTTAGTTATGTTACAGGCGCTTATTTCCACAGGCTGCTGGTGACTTATTCACTCAAATTGCTGGGAGTTTATTCCCTCAGAAAATACTTCATAAGATACTTTTCATAAAGTAAGCTAGGACTTGTTCCTCCAAAGTCATTTAGCTGATGTTGCGCTACCACAATTATGTCCTCTACGGTCGACTTTTCGGTCGACTCAGCCCTAACGTGCTCTCGCAAGGGGCAACCGGTTTATCATTTCTAGCTTAATGCTCGCTAGGCATTCATCCGTGTCCCGGTCCACTCCAATCATGCGAGTGGTGGACCTTCGGCGCTGCCCACGTTTCGACACATCCGCCTCGATCTTGCTTCACCGTGTAGTGATAACAACAGTGAAGTCTTGTGCAGTCGTACTAACAACTTTCCAGAAGTGAGGCCATTGCAATCCCTCTTAGAGCACCCAACCGCTTGCGGACGCACTAAAACGTTCATCAGATTGCTATCTGATGAAGAAGTAGAAGTCGTCTTCACGGATCGATGCTACCAGCTTACCCTTGACTCGTATCTTCGGAGCCACGGTAATTTAAGAATGACATAAAATTGAATTCACCCATCCTGTACGTTGAAGTCACCATTGTAATAATATTCTTATAAAGTGAAGCGAATCCCCACTAAACATTTCTTACTGTTATTGATGCGCCTGTTGCAAGGCGCACCGTCAAATTCGTTATAATATAGTCGTGCTCAACGAACTTGAGCCTACGACCCTCTAGAGACTGTCGACAAGCCAAGTATTTCGATGATTCACAGTCTTCTAGGTCAAGAAGTGAAAATTCCTTTTTCACTTATATGTTTAAGGTGATGAGGGATACATTATCACTAAAAACACACACACTCCCAGCGTAGCTGGAGAAACTTTGTCAAGAGATTTGTAAAATTACCCAAGGCTGCTGGATCAGTAGAACGCTCTGCTCCAACTAACCCCGACCGTATTACGGCCCGTCTCGCTTTTAAAAATTCAACGGCGCCGAGCCCGCGTTATCTGCCTTCTTAGCAGACGCTCGGTCAATTCGCTCATTACTGCTATTCAAAGGGATTGGGGTGCTACCTTCATCGTCGTAGTGTCCCATTTATTGACAGCGATTGCACTTCTGCAATCGTTTTCTGTTCGAAACACGAGGCCTTTCGCTCTCGACGTAACATAGTTCTACATGTTCCGGGACTCCGACATCTTTTCGTGTCGGTAAGCAGTAGGACATCGAACTATCATGAGCCTATTTATGCTAATACTTTTCTTTTCCTCAGCTGAGATTGCTTGTTCCAGCGTATTTTGCTTCAGGCGGAACACGTGAGATTGACGGGTCCATCCGCAAGACCATGCATAAAAGACATTATAAATGTGCTTACGGAACGCGTTAGATGTAACGAAACTCGCTGTGTGTCGTATATTTTGAGCGTATGTGTGCACATTAAGCTCACCCTGCTTGAGTTTCAAAGGCTTGTTTGAGCCCTGATCTCAGATTTCGGAGGCTTAAACGTTGTTTGAGCCTAGTCCGAAAGACGTCTAACCACCTTATGGCGTATGAGTCGTGCACGTTGAGACCTAATGACCAGTTTTGACACGCCCTGCCAAATTCACCTGAGCAAATACAAGTTTCATTTACCCGTCATCGATGCGATGAGCCCTTATGGCGTTGTCTTACGCAACAAACCATCTTGACAGGGAGTCTTCCTCGGCTCCTCAGTACTTGGAGGTATCAAATGCCAAGGATTCGGGTCGACGAGCGTGCGTCAGCCCGGGAACACCTGACTGAGCCTGCTGTTGTCTCAGCAGTCCGAACTTTTGATCACACTGTTCTCTCAACAGCTGTGCCAGTTGAGAACCTTGTTGGTAAAGCAAGGTTATGTTGCATACACTTGTCGATGGAGGAATGCTACTGATCTTTGTTCAATGCAAACAGCATGGCGCGGAAAGCATTCTCACCAATGATCAAACTCATTCGTTTTCCGCGCCACTCCATTTGACGCCACTCCGATAGGAGCAGCTTTCTAGCGTGACACGAAAGCTGTCACCATCACCGTCTAATATTTTCATATTGGGCGAGGGGGCTTGTGTTCATTGGAAGGACTACAAAGTGCTACCAGGAGAAATGGGGGCAATAATGACTACGTGCAGACTTCAGTACGTAGCTGACCCTCTTTGACAACAGTGGGGGCTAGTTTTTTACAAATGACATATTATGTAACGGGACAACCCCCTTATGATATGCTCTTGCCTTTTCAATCGAAGTCCTACCAAGACAAATGAAGGTGGTATATTGCTCATTGCGATGTTGACAGAGAGACGAATAGTCTTAGGTAAGACCGTGGCCTTTGGCTCCCCACGGACAGTACACTTGCACATTAACAAGTGTTTGCGTGCGGGGCAGCAGCAATTATCATCGGAAAGAACGACAATGAAGGAGCATCGGGTTGGTCGATCATATTTTTCAATACATGTATAGATCGGGGTAGCATGGTTGGCAGCCCGAAGGCGCCATCGAGCTGTCAAGTAAACCTTCCTACAGAATATGGCACTCTCGGATACATTCTCGAAACTTTCACGATGCACTCGACCGTTAAACGCTTTGTCATCTCGATTGTACGCGAGGAAGCATCTCAGTTTTTTCTTCATCCTGCCTGAAAAAACAAGACTCGGTGAATTTGGCGAAAAAAACAAGAGTTGATCCAAACTACATAAACAGTACGACTGAAGTACTCCAAAAGTACCAGTTGCGTACAGTAAAAACCCTTGGCATTGAACGCAAAAGTAAAAGCACTTCTTCTATGTCTTTGCATCCATTTTTAACTCTCCTTCTCTACACCTTTTGTCATTTAAATTGTGAGGTGCTCAAGCGACGACGACTTGACCGACTTCCTCGACACTCCATGAGTTGGCGCGCGCAGATCTCCCGCAGCATCCAGGAGCTGCGTTTCGTGGCGTGCGATACTTCACAGAGCAGTGCGGGTTTGCGGTGGGTACTACTTGCATCGCGTTTCTCCCTCTCCTCTTTGTCTCTCTTCCTCACCCCATCTCGATGCGAACCCTCACGCCCTCCCGTCTTGTTGCGACACTGAATGCCAATGGATGTCGTAGCACGTTTTTCCGCGAAAACTATGGCGAGCTCAAGATGCTGAACCCCCTTACGCCGTTTGTGTACCGTGAAGCAGACGAGATGGAGCCGTTTGTGTACGCTCGATTCGACTGGGGCGTGGAGAAAAAGGTACCTGTGCCTGGCAAAAGCGACAAGGAGGTTCTGGCCGTCCTCAAGGGTCTCGTGGACCACGGGCTCACGTTGCCCAAGTCGCCTGAGAGTGACCTTCTTGTTGCTGCCCCCGTCATTGATGCGGACAAGGGGGAGGATGCGTACGAGCCCATTAACCTCACATGGGACGGCAAGACGATGCGTCGCAACCCGGACTTTGACATTCCGCTAGAGGAAGCGTTGAAGGCTTGAGATAGTGCGACCGACGACTACAAACGAAAATGGGACGAGCGGGGCTCTGGGGACTTGAAATGGCAGACAGACAGACAGACAGACACAGACATAAGGGCTCACCCGTTATGGGACATCCATTCAATAAGATGAGACAACATGCTGCATGAAACCCATCACCGTGTTGTTGCTACCATAGCTCAGGCATCGCCCGACGGCACGATCTGTCCAGGTAAAACCCCGATGCTTCGTGCATGCATCGCAACACGGTCAGTGGCACGCGAAACAGTCGGCACATCTCTGCACATATAACCTTTTGTGTTGTACAGAGCGTTCAATTGGCGGCACCGCTCAGGATGGGGGAGATACAGGACCTACGACTGCTGGACTCGGGGCTGCGTGCAGGTTCTGCTCAATCAGCTGGGCTTCCAACTGCGGAGGCAGCTTCTCGCCCTCTTCAACGTCCATCAGCTCCGGCGCTGTCCGATCACCGCGGATTGCACGCATCACGCGCTCTTGCTCGTCAGAGTGGTGCTCGAGGTCGTCCAAATGGAGACTATAGGTCTCGATCAGACCTTGACGAATCCGAAAAGGCAAGTAGCTTGCAATCGGCTCCGTCAGCAGCATCGCATCGAGCTCGAGAGGCACACTTTCCTAGAGTACCAAATACCACATACAGCAATTAGCTCATATAGCTTGTCAAGACCGCGATAAAGCATGGAGCACAGCACGCGTTGCCAGACCAGAAAAGAGGCAACAGCGGTCAGCCAAATTGCTAACCCCCACGCCGCATGGGAAATCGTTCCAAAGACGCTTGCCCATGACAGCTCCATGACGTGGCGGAAGCGGAAGATGTAATAAATGTACTTGGCCGTGCCCACGCCAATGTATCCGAAGCCCAACAGAAGCAGTCCTGAACCAAGACCGATTCCAGCCACCAAGCCATATTGCAATTAGCTACCGTCAGCAGCACAAACTCGTGTCCTCCATCCAAGCATGTTTTGTCAATGTGAGGGCACACCCACCCGCGCCACTAAGTTGCGCTCCACGATGATGTTCTTGTGCATACATGGCAACTCCAACAGCTGAGGACAACACTCCATTTCTTGCCCAATTTAAATAGGAGTTCTCATTGCTGAAACGAAGCACCTGGTGGTAGGTCAAGTGCCATGCAAGAGAAACACATACGTAAACACACAACAACAAGCACAGAAGTGGTGCATCAACACAACAGCAATCGACGACGCAGTGGGTCGTGGCAACTTCCACGAGAGAGCTATAAAGCTACGCGCGGCCGCCACATCCACCAGATTTTCATCGTACCAACGAATTGCGCAGTCGGAGATTCCCATCGGCTGCAGAGGCAGCTGCTGTCTTTTTAATTTCTGCTTTTGCTGCTCGTTTGGCTGCTCGGGTGGCTACAATGGAAAAAGACAAACAAAGCCACGCACGTAACAAAACACACACACAACAACACGAAAAACACGTCGGGTGAAAAACACGACGGGTGTACCCACAAAATGGCACGACAACGACCACAAGAAATGCGCCGCACCAGTTTTCTGCTTGAGCGCGAGCAGACGATGCAGCTGAAACCTACTAAGCAGCATATGCGGTCCAACTTGAGGCCTCGCGACGCAGCAGCGTTTGCTTGAGCTCACTGCAGTCGCTGTCGGGAGTCGCGCAACGTTCTTGATCGCGTTCTTTCCAGCGTGCATTGCAACTGGGGCGTGCACTGTCGTGTTGCCAGCTTTCGAGCGCAAGCCAAACGCTCCTCGCGGAGCAGCCCACACTGCCCGCAGCTGCCGCGCGGCGACGCGACTTGTACCCATCATCTCCACCTTAATGAAAGTGGAGCGAGTATACGTATAGCACCGACCATGGACGTCTGTTGATGGACGCACGTGCGTACGATTGTGTGTGTTTTGTGCGCACGCGTTCGTTGGTCGTCCATATTGTGGCTGCGCTTTGGTTCCCGAGCTCTGATTGGCCACAATTCAGTGGTCAGTTGTCAGAAGCAGGTGCGGTGCACCATGGCGCCAAGTCGACCGGACTTTGTGAGCTCGTTCTTGTTGAAGGAGCTGCTACTGGCGCTCGGCGCGCGTGTCCCCATGTGCGATGGGGACCGTTGCAGTGCGGGCAATGACGTCGAAAGCTTGAGCGAAGACACGGAGTCGTCCAGTGCTCTACCGCCTGCACACCCGACTGCTCCGTCGCGTGTCGTGCTCGTTCGTCGTACAAAGAGCTCCCAACAGCTCGTGACGCTCGTGGACCGTGAATTTGACATTGAGGCGTTCATTCCAAGACATTTGAGCCAGTGGCTGCAGCAAGATCGGGGCTATGAAACGATCGGGCGGCTGCGGGGGAGCGTCGTTCGAGTGACGAAGTACCACTTTGCAACGTGGACGCGCTGCTTGGCCAGTGACAAGCAGACGACACTGTCGTCGTTGGCGTTATCCGTATCTGCACCTTTTGTCACTCGAGCTCCAGTGTATCTCTATGTGGACGCTCTGGCTATTGTGGACGATAACGAGTTGGCTGTCAAGCCGCTGCCGCGGGTGTATACGCACCCGTTGGTGGCGGAGCAATTACAGACGCTCAGTGATGACGAGCTGGAGAAACAGTTAATGATACATCAAGGGTTGCCATCGTTGCAGGTAGCTGCTGTCGATGACCGGTTTACAGATGACCACCCATTGCTGGAGGAAGACTGTGTGATACCTAAGGAGCAGGAGCTCGAGCTGGAAGAGCGAGACGAGTGGGGACCACCCGTCGCCGTCGTGCAACCACCGACGGACTCAGAACTGATTGAAGAGAACGGGCTGGTGCCGATGGCCGACTCCCAAGTGGGGCATCAGATGGACCAGTTGCATCCGACGCCCGAGACAAAGGCTTTGTCGACAAATGTGTCGGTAGCGTCGAGATGCCAAGAGCAAAACGAACATGGAGGACTGGATGCAGCCTCTCAGCTTGATGGCGAGCGATACCCGTTCCAACAAGAGAATGTTCGAGAAACGTTTGTAGTCGACAGTGACTCGGAAAGCAATGGCACCGGAGATGAAAATGACGTCGCTACACCAACGACATCGGTGCATAGTATGCCTGATTCTCATGAACAGCTTGATTCTGGCCGGAAACATTCTGCTGCTCTTTCTGACCCATCGTTGACAACTTCGGAGACGACCCCAGACCCATGGGAGATTCTCGACCCCACCGGTGTCTCGCGTGAAAGAGCCCCGATACCGTCCCTTAGCTTGGAGGAGAAGACAGTGCCGGAGCAAGAATCCACGACGGCATGTTGCGATGTGATTGCAGAAGTAGGCGGACGCGCTTCACCGCGCCCATCACCCCACTCGTCACCGGCGAAGAGCCACGATTCGATTGGAAAACAAACACCATCAGCAAGCTGGGCCACAAGTTTGCTTCGTATGGTTGGCCTGAGGACTTCATCTGCCATAGCTTCCCCGTCAACGCTTTCTTCTTCTGACGACGAGATCGGAACCTTGGTTGAATGTGATCAGAGTGACGCGCAGAGTCAGGAGATCGTGGAATTCGAGCCAGCTGAACCGGACGTCCCGCTTGAATCTCAGGCGACGGTGATCCTGCCGTATGGTGCTGATAATGACGACAATATTCATGCTTTTGAGTACGAAGGCTTGTTGTCAGATGGTGTGATTTCTCATCGACCTGTGGTACTCAGGAGAGATCACCGTCCTGTGGTAGGGAAAGTAGACGAAACAAACGAGCAGCGTGACACTGGAAATGGGGCTGAAGGTGCAGTTACTTCACCGAGAGGTCTGGCATCGAAGAAAGATACTGCTATCGTAGACTTGGGACCTCCTCCATCTGCACAAACCGTGACGCCAAGGACGGTGATACAACCCGAGCCAGCCGTTCCACTTTCTCCGACGGTGTTGCCTCGATTGGAAGAAACTATAGAACATCAAGAGCGTCACGCCAGTCGCTGTACTTTACCTTCTCGCTCGGAAGACCCCAATGTTGTAACCGGTGCTGCAGGGCAACTCGAGCCTGTCAAGAGTCCGACACAACTAGACGTTGCAGTCGCAGTCAAATCTAGCTCGAGCCGAGAAAGCCGTGCTGGAGCTACGGCTGCAACGTCTCATGGTTACAAGCGACGTCAGCAAAAGGAGATCAGCTTTTCCCCGAAAGGACGTCCAGTGTCGCAGCTGAAAATGCAAAAGGATGACGAGTCTTCGTCTCGGATGCAAAAGCGTCGTCGACGAAACGTTCTTTTGACGCGCACGCATCACGGTCCGAGTCTCGTCAGTTTGAGCAACCATACGTCGTAGCTGATCGGGTTGATGACAACTATTCACTCGACGGAGTGTGCAAATTACTGGGCTCGGGCGAGCGTACTCCGAATAATGAAAAGGAGCAGACGTGTGTATCGCGGCAACCTCGTCGGGCGTGGAAACGCTACGAGAACCTCTTTCCGCCGCTTAGTATGACACGCCTGAAAGAAATGATGGCAGAGGGTGACGGCAATGACGAGAAGTGAAACGCTAGGTATGACAGTAATCGTGCGGCAAAGAATTGCAGCTTACTGCTCTGCATCGCGGATTGCTAGTGAAGCGATTGTCTCAAGACTCGTTGCTGCACATTTGACGTGCATTGGTACGAAACGCAACTATCATGGTAAAGCCCAGGATTGTTGCGACGGGCAAGTCACGAGTTCATGTTGACGTCGTCGTCGTCAACGCAAGTAAGTGCACGTGCGATCGGACCTTCCGAATGGTTGTTATTGAATCGAACCACGAAAGCATTGCACTCTCTGATAGGCATAGTACAATGCGCTTGTATACCGCAACACGTTGCTAGTCTTAGTACAAGCCTGCCATCGGCACCATCCGGTAACAAGCTGTTTGTTCATAATAGCAGTAATGTTTTGCAACATGCCATTTATGTAGCACGTAAGCAAAGTTCTTTCCAACCGATCCATGTGGCTGTGCAACCAATGGCTTTCACCAGTGCACAACGCCAATGCACCACTGTAAGGCTGCATTGCAAATAATCGCTTTCCTCGTCGCGGCACTTCGCGACCTTGCAGCCAATTGACACTAGATGCAATGTTGGTATTGATGCAACCCATCCAAGCTACGGCACCACATCTCACGTACGGCACCAGAACGTTTGCGTCGATCGTTGCTCCCTACTTGAGTCATAAACAAGGAAACTACGAACCGGATCAACATCCGGTATACGACCAGTCGCTCTGAGGGTCGTACAGTATATGGCCACCACTTTGCCGTGATGAGTATTGTCAGGTAGAAGATACTTGCGCCTTCCCATTACCGCGTCCGCTCTGCCATCATCGAGCACAGATGTTTACATGTTCGCACTCGTTTGCTTATTGCTCCGTATCCTCAGCTCAACTTCGTCGTAAGTGGATAGCCTGGTGGTCCAGACATTCGTCCTTCACATCTCGATAACGCAGTGTCGTGTCGTCCATTGCTGTCGTGGGTAGCTCGAGTTGGAGCATACATACCGAACTGCCGAAGCTCGCCGCACTCAAAGCATATGTCTTTCCTTCCCCTGCTGTATCCATTCGAGCGTACCAAGCACCCCGTAGCAATGTTCCAGGCGTTGCTGCATACGAGGCACGTTTACGCGATCCCTCCCTAGCTATGCAAGTAGCAAAGTCGTTTGCAGCTCCCGCAAACACTTTCTAGTCGGTGGTTTCTCCGCGGAGCTTGGGCAATCCACACATCTATCTGCAAGAGGCGGCGCCGGCGTCCCACTCTCGTTCGCTTTTACACGCCACTTGATCGCGGTAGTACACGTTGCCCCACATCAAGCCCACAAGCCATGACATGAACGACTCATTCGTAGACACAGCTTGACCTATACAACCACCCATGCCGACGAAGCATCCAGAAGCGTAAAGTATGCTGCGCGTGATGCGGACAAAGGTGTTTCGGCAAGGACTGTCGACCGAGCGGCTGGACAACTGCAGCAATCGCAAAAACTCCTCGACTTCACCCGCTAAGAATACACCATAACGCTACCACGCCTTGCCGGAGCAAGTCTTCTCGTCCATCGCACTGCAGTATCGAGGCGAGCAAAAATCCAAGTGCATGACTGATCAAAATGAAGTGCGAGAAGGCTTCATGCTGCAGCCAGATCTACTCGACAAGCGTGAGGCTCATCCTCGCTTTGCCAGCTCCGTCGTGCGCCCCAGGTACAGAACTCCACAATTACACCTCTGCTTGAATCCGTAACCTGCTCCGAACTGCACCAGAGCTGCAACCAAAACGCTCGTGCCATACCACCTGTTGCCAGTTCGCATCCGACCAACATCGTACGTCATCACACACATACTTTTCGTCACCTCCAGCTAGAACACCCGAAAACGGCCACTGCCTGCTGCAATCGAATCCCATCGAATCGCAATCGTCAGCCACATGACCAGCAGTAGCACCGCCAGTAGCGCCAGCGGCGACGTGTCAGCAAACAGCGTCCCTTGCACCACTGCATCCAGTTGCGCCGAGCTCTCAAGAGCGCCCACGAGTACAGCCGCCAGCCAATTGCCCCCGCGTTTTCGAGGCCACGTGTACGTCAGCTCGTCATCGGCAAAGTAGAGCATCGCCAGCACTTCCACGACTTCATAGTAGAGCACCAGTGCGACAATGTCGAGCCAATGAAAGCGCGACGAGCCGTCCATCCTGTTTGCACCAGCCCCGGGCGTGAAGAACGTCCGAGAGGCCGAGAAGCCAGCGATCGTCGCGCCCCAGAGGACCACGCGCGCCCAAAATAAGGCCCACAACAGCAGTCGCTGGTCGTGCAGGCGGTCAAAGACACAGGGAAAGTCGCGTTGCCACTGGCGCAGCCCTTCGGTCAGGCCGTGGTACACGACAGCACAGCACGCGGCTTTGAGCTGGAGCTCTAGGGACGGGAGCAGCGCGAACGCCATGAGCATGACGAGGGCGCCGAGGAGACGGGCGAGGAGACGGCGGTGGTGGATCTCGAGCGTGAGGACGACGGCGCTGACGACGACGAGCGCGGCGAGGGCCAGTGGCGCTGCCATGCGGACGACGACGGCAGAGGGGCGACGCGGTACGAGCGACAATGGGACTGCCACGTTGTGACGGTATGCGACAAACGATTGACGTTTGTGCGTTTGGCTGACGCGGGTGTGGGTGTGGGTGTGGGTGTGGGAGGGATGTCGACGACGGCGGTGTGTTTTATTCTTTGCGAGAGGGATACGAAAAAAGTGACTGACCGTTTGTGTTTGTTTGTATTTCTTGATAATTTGTGGGAATACCTACAGACATTCCAAGATATATCTTCGACTTCTCGTAGAAGAGAGGCAGCAGCCGTGTGACGACCAGGTCTTTGTTTTTCAAGTTGAGAAAATACAATCGATTCGCATTCCTCTATTCGGGTCTGTAACAAAACACGGAAGAACTGCCATTTGTTCGGTTACATTTTACAGAGCGGGTAACAAAGAAGACGCCGTCAGTCAGTCAAGGTCAGAAATGTCGTGTGCCCCGTAGTGTATCTAGTCATCTGGCACGCTGTTAAGAAGTCACCATCGGATAGTTTCTTACGCAAATTCTGACCTTCGGTGCTGCTCATACTTGCCGAGTTGTCAGGGGTAAATCCGATGATGTGTAGTATGCTTTATCTAACACTCACCATGTAAGCTTTTTAGATGGGCTAGATTGAGCTCTTCGTAATTGCACCAATGGCTGTTTTATGTAACCTGTAGTATGGTTTGAAATTGAAATGCGTACGGGTATATTTACGCAACGTTTCAGTATAAATATGCGATCTGCCAGTAGATCGCTGATCGTACCAAAATAGCGCTAATATTCTAGAAAGAAAATCGTAGACCCTTGTGAATAGCTGCTTTACCTCGTCGATGCTTTTTTCTCCACTTGATGTTGACATGTAACGCTTTTGACGAATTCCTGACCCTTTGAAAAGGCTTGCGGTCCTGCTTTACAATCCTCGGTGCAATTTTGTGCGTCCAGTCGAAATTTGGTTTATACTTCAAGATTCATAAGCTATCCCGGACTAAACTATCGAGAGGTTAACCTTCTCTCGAGCCACGTCGACCACTACTCTTCGGTATCCCTCTTTGTCGACAAATGGAATCGTCGAGAGAAGGCGGCCGCGTGTCGAGTACAAAAGTTATATAGTTGAGCTCACTGTAATGGTCCGCCAGAATCCAAAAGACATAGCATATATAGCACTATAAATCATATTGCAATGTATCATCTGTATCGACAACTCCTTCAAATAATGCAATACTCTTACATTGTGGCACAGCAGCCAATAAAATCTGCAACAATAGCGTCAACGCGCAAACACAGAAAACTCTCTAACTTATTGTGTTATAACGGCTGTTTAAGTCGGGCAAAATAGTAGCAATTCGAAGTTCAACGCTTTGGCTTCGGTCGAGGATCTCTTTACACTATAAACCTGCAGCAAATTCCTCCGAAGGCCTACCGGATCTTAGCAGCTTCTTTTCTTATAGCACGAAGTAAGAGCCGACTCTTTACGCGCTTTTATAGATCTTCGGCGTAGCGCATGCCGAATAGAAGCATTACGGTCTCCTCGACTGAAAGCATTCGAATCGTCCCTAGACTATAGTTCATCGGTACCGTCCACAGGAATGACAGGCTTGTCACTATACAAGAATTGCCCGGTACTTCCTATTAGGTTTGCTGGCTCGTAGCTAGATGATATCCAAACGGTGCCGTCAAATCTCCGCTCGACGAGACTTAAACGGTGCCATCTTAATGGCCAAGGATTCGTGCTTGTCAGTCCGATATTTATTATTGGTGGAAATCATCGTCCTGACTGTACCGAATGAACTCTCTCGCTCTTTTCCTCCTTCTCAGCAACAAGTCGAAACCTCATCAAGTTTTGCATCTCGAGGAATGACGGCAACAATAATGCATTCCGCCTAGGGACTTACTGGAAGATAATACACTGTGACTGACTTTAAATACTGCACTGTGTTCATATGTCTTCTTCTTTTTATTCTGCTTCTTCGAAAAAAAACCATTTGAATAACTCCAAGTCACTATACTTTTCTCCGATATATACATACACTAACTGCGAATTCTATTTTCGATCCGGCGGCGATTAGAGCGCATCCGACATGGCAGAACTTAACGGAGTGCACCGTGAAGAGTGAGGGCTCGACGAGGTGGGATTTGATGGTGTCATACTCGACTAATTATCCTGTAGTTATGATTTACATAACAGTTTTTACCCAAAGCGTTTCTCTACATTACATCTTAACCCGCCACCAATGACCAGATAACCAACTCACGGAAGAGATACTCTACTTTACATGAAAACATATCTTCCTCACTCTGTGTACCAACTTGGAGGTCAATGTAATACTGGTATTGATATAGATTGTGTTCATGTTAACGAAATACGATAATCTCATACAAACGTGGATGTTACTCGTGTCTAGTTGCTGCAATCTTGTCTTGATATTGTTAAGGGTCCATGTGGATAGTCAATACGTAGCGTAAGGACCAGAAAATATACAATTACATACAAGAAATAGAGTGAAAATAGTATAATTATCGCCTGGCTAGTTGTCAAACTCTAGGGTCAGGAAAAGGTATACTAGTAAGCTCTTGCAATCGTTCGACGCAAACATGATTGCTAAACATGGTCTTCGTTTCCCTTCCTTGATACATCCTTTCCGTTTGCCTTACAGCACTCCTCCTCATAGAAGTTGTCTGTGAGAAAATCACTCGATCGCTGATTAAACAAGTGACAATTGCTATATGACCGTCGAATCCAATCAATTTATTATACACCAATCACTGAATGCAATGTATTATATTGATGATTCCTATGCAGTTTTAGGTATGTCCGCGGCCACGCTCACTTTCATATTTTCTGCGTTGTATGATTCGATGCCTGTCAAAATAAATATTCACTTGATGTGCACATCAACATATTTGATCTAAGCAAATGATTTTCACCTTCAACTTTCTTTGTATCGGATTTGCCATACCCGCATCGACATCGAATTTTCTCACCTAAGCTTTCAACTCTAGCATAAGTGCTCGAATGCTCTATAGTTTTTGAGTCACGATCGTTGTAGCTGTGAACTCAGCCTGTATGTTCAAAATAAATACATTAATTTGCATCTTGCACAATCAGCTCACTAAAAGGTCATCAGCCGTAGTCAAAGCATCCGTGACTGTTCTTACCACCTTTTCCTACCGATAAAATCTGCATCACTGTAACAAAACACTTGCAAAACGGTTGTTATCATCTATTACCCCATCATAGAAATACGCAATTTTTACCACGCAGGTCCCAAAAACAATTATTAGCCGCTTATGGTCCCTCATTAATTAATGACGGGTCTCTCTTGACGCATAGTATGCTGCGAAGGCAACGATTAGTCTTTTGCGGCGTATGGTTTATTGCAAACTTCAAGCAAGTGACGGAAAACTATCGCCATCAACACTTTATCTCCTCTAAAAACATATGTATTGTTTGACAAACATATTATCGTAATCACTCGAAGTTTAGGCCCACTACACTTTATCCTAATATAGACCATGCTTTACAGCACATTATTAAGATGTTTCGACTCGATCAATATTACACCAATATACTTATTCGAACAGATTACTATGGCAGAAATTCACCAACACAAAGGATCTGATAGCTATACAACTTTGTTACAAAAAAGTATAAACCAAATGGTGAGATCCTGACACCATAAGAGCATCCGCATAATCACAAAACTTGAAGTATGATTACAAATTCGTCTAATCGCCATGCATGTCTATGAGACTTACATTAAGGAATATACGTGTCTATTTTGGGACATAAATTTATCCACAGTATCTCTGCTTAGTTATGTCAATGTAACGCTAATTAAACTTTTACACAGATCACTATTTTGTAATTATTATGTTGTACCTAATCTCAAGTGCAAGATAGATTCTTTGCGGAATATATTTCGATGTACATGTAAAAAAATCCCTTTTGCACGTTAAAAATGCGTTTTTAACGTCTATTTGCTTCGAAAACACCGTAATGTTCTCGGCAGATCACATTCAACTCCACGCTGAACGTGTCAAGCATAGCCAAAAAACGCTCCACATATATTACGCCAAACACTATATTCTTTCAGCATGGAACCGATTAATATTTTGACCTTTCGACACCACCTTTTGCGCCGGACATCGTTTTTAAACCACTTTATTTGATATCTTCAATGTATTATGGAGCTTTGACGATCTCTAAATTCCCTGTTTTTGCCTTAGCTTGCATTTATACTAAAATTACTTCCCCTTATCCTTATCAGTGTTAAAGTGATTATTAAGGGTGGACCTGCATACCAGCAGGTTAAAGGAACAAGGGGCTGCACACCAGGGAGTAGGTAACAGAGAGAAAGGGGCTCACGGAGGTGACGATTCCCTCAGCTACGAAAAACTTTCAGAACTAACTAAGTGAAGATCATTACCAAAGTACCGGTAAAACATTACTAAATAGAGTCAACCACGTTACCTTGTCAAAGGGACCGGTAATTAATGGTAGGCTTCAGTCCCTCATCGATAGACCTCGGTACCTCATCGATAGACCTCTTTCTCCTATCGATATACCTCTTTCCGTTATCGATAAACCTCGATCCCTCGTTAATTTACCCCCTATTGTGAAGGTAGAACTCTCCTGGCCATTCAATATCAGGAGACAGAGCGTTTGGAGAATATAGACTAGATGAGTTAAAGGATAGGGATATAATAAATACTATTCAATTTTACGATCCACGTGGCACGACTTTGTCGTTATTGAAGAAACTGTTAATTCTGCCCGCCTTTTTCGGGGAAGGTGTTTACTGTAGCATCTACATCATAGACAGTGGCGAAGCAAGAATAAGCGCGAAAGAAACTCCATGAAGTATTTGGCGTGTAATTTTGTCTCTAGTAGCACCCCTACATAATCCACTATCGAAATATTTCTCCCCTATACAGTGATTTAGCTTCCCGGGCTTCCATATTTTCGCATTCTTGCAGAGTTTCTTCAAGATCT